CTTACTAAACTATATTGACATCAGTGGTTATTTCCTGAAACACTTAAGTTGTAAAACTTAATTTTCTTAAGTGTTTACCTTACAAGCAGCGATTTGGAGGGATATTTAATTTTTTGCTTAATACGTTTTTCTGACTGCAAGCTAATTGGACTGATCGAGGAGAGCAGTTATACTCATTTAAATGGTCTCTGTCAGAAGACCTCATATCTTCTAGAGTGTATGCCATTTTTAATTTTACTTAGACAGGAACCACAGTATATTGCAGTTTACCTAACTTTCCTCCACCTCTTAGTTTATTCTAAGGGAAATGTCCTTTCCCAGTTCTAGAATAGACATTGTTAGCTGCTTTCCTGGAGAAAGTAACTTCTGTTACTTTTGTGTTTTCCCTTGGTTTGCCTATCTCACTGAGATATCTATAAAGTATCTGAGCAAAGTCTTCAACAACTTAACTGCATTGTGTTTGAATGTTGAATGTATCTGACACTTGAGTGTAAGCTTGGGGAAAGGATTCTGTGTTGGTGTTAGAATCAGCAGCACCTGTTACTGGACCGTCGGTCGATAAGTGTTGAGAGCAAGATTGAAAGTAAGCACCTACCATAAATTCACTAAGTGTTTTTTGAGTGCCTCTTGTGTTGCCATCATTATGGTACAGTGTCTATTTAAGTGATTTAGTGAGAAAATAAATGGTTGAAGTAAAATCTAGCTTTCCCTCTTTGTAAATTATGTTTTACACATGAATTCTGCTTTTAGTTTATCTTTCTGAAGTAAAACAGTATTAAAAGATTTTAGTTCAAATACACATAAAGTTGATTATTTTCTCCTAATCTAGCTGAGTTAGTATACAGCACATAACTATATGAATGAATTATTCATATAGTTGCAGAATTTTTTGGGAGTATCTAGGGGCAGAGTGGTTTTGGTTGTAACCTAGAGTACCAGTAGCATAATTAATATTCTGTGCATAATGCATCTCCTAAACCATAGAATTGAGATACTTTACAGATCCTGTATTCCAGAGGTTTTTCCACTTACATTTAAAGGTATAGTACAGATGCTTCAGATGTACAATATTTGATTTGAATTTTGTTTTTTCAGATGTTTTTATTTACCATGTTTAATCAGTTCTTTATTTTTTTTAAAGATTTTATTAGAGAGAGAACATACATGCGTGTGCACGAGAGAGCACAAGTGGCGTGGAGGGGCAGAGGGAGAGGGAGAAACAGACTCCCAGCTGAGCAGGGAGCCCTACATGGGGCTGCATCCCAGGACCCCGAGATCATGACGTAAGCTGAAGGCAGACATCCATCCGACTGAGCCACCCAGGTGCCCCATATACCAGATTTTAAAGTACAGGGTTCTACAAGCATGTTAACTGTGTTGTCATTCCTTTATTAATTAAGTAGTTATTATAAACTTAAATGTATTGTAGGGGTGCCTGGGTGGCTTAGTTTATTAAGTGCCTGACTGTTGATTTCAGCTCAGGTCATGATCTCAGGGTCCTGGGAGTGAGCCCTGCATTGGGCTCTGTGCTCAGCCATGAGTCGGCTTGAGGAGTCTCTCCCTCTGCCCCCCCCCGACTTGTGTGTGCACATGTGTGGGCTCTCTCTATAAAATAAAATCTTAAAAACAATATAGTGAAATAATTTTTAATCTCATGCAATTTCTTGAAATATTTATTTTAGACAAAATAATTTAGACAAAAAATTTAGAGACAAAAGTTAAAATTGCTATACATGATAAATCTTCATTTCAGCTAGAGAATATATTTTATATAAAAATTATATAAAAATATATGAAAATATATTTTTCATATATTTTTCTGACTTAATGTAATTTTTAATTTTAATTTTTATATTTTTAGTATTAAATCAGTGTTTATATTGCCGCTTCATACTATTGATGGATATAATTCCATTCTAAAGTTTTTTGTAATCATAAGCCTTGATGTCAATAATTCTGTATTCACGTTTTTGACATTCTTGATGATAGCATTTAATGTGGGATTGTAATTGCTGGTTTTGAAAAAGCTAGTGGGGTTATAGGCCTAGTTAGAATTGTGGAATGGGTTTTTTTCTGAGTGAAGAACTGTGAATAAGGATTAATGATTCAGTCAGATTTGTTCCTTTGCTGAACTAGTGGTCAGAGCTAATTGGATGATAGGCCTACTCAGCTAGGAGTTCCACTGATGGTGTGTGGAAGAGAGAGTAAGTGTACATAGTCCAAAATAGAGGGCAGTAAAGTGGTGACACAGAATGACTACATACTTTTCTAAAATATTCTGCTATTAATGACATTGTAAGATAAAAAGGCCTAATGAGTTTAAAGCATCATTTGTAGGTTATCTATGGGTCCATATTGATGAACATTTGAAAACTTCTGATAAATATGATCGATGTGTATGTGTTAATTAGGCCTTTTTTCATTTATACATAGTGTAATTCATGTACTTTATTATTTTTTTAAGTTTTCATTTTAATTTCAGTTAGTAAACAGTGTTGTATTAGTTTAGGTGTACAATATAGTGATTCAACACTTCACACATCACCTGGTGCTCATCACAAGTGCACTTTTGAATCCTTATTACCTATTTAACCCATTCTCCCACCGACTCGCTTTGGGAACCGTTAGTTCTTTTTAAGACTCTCTATAAGTTCTTGATTTTTGTCTCTTTTTTTTATTTCCCCTTTGCTTGTTTGTTTCTTAAGTTCCATATAGGAGTGAAATCATATGGTATTTGTCTTTCTCTGATTTACTTATTTTGCTTAGCATTATACTCTAGCTCCACCGTGTCGTTGCAAATGGCAAGATTTCCTTTCTTTTTATGGCTAAATAATATTCATTATGTTCGACACACACACACACGCACACACACAACATCTTCTTTATCCATTCATCAGTTGATGGACACGAGCTGCTTCCATATTGTAGCTATTATAAATAATGATACTGTAAATATAGAGGTGCATGTATCCCTTTGAATTAGTGTTTTTGTATTCTTTGGGTAAATAACCAGTAGTGTGATTGTGGATCATAGGGGAGTTTTATTTTTCGGTTTTTGAGGAACCTTCATACCGTTTTCCACAGTGGCTGCACCAGTTTGCATTCTCACCAGTGGTGCAAGAGGGTTTTTTCCTCTACAAGCTCATCAGCACCTGTTGTTTCTTTTGTTGATTTTAGCCATTCTAAGAGGTGTGAGGTGATACCTCATTGTACTTCTGATTTGCATTTCTCTGATGTTAAGTAATGTTGAGCATCTTTGTGTCTTTAGAGAAAGGTCTGTTCATGTCTTCTGCCCATTTTTAAATTGAATTATTTGTTTTTTGGGTGTTCATTATATATTTTGGATGCTGACCCTTTATGAAATATGTCATTTGGAAATACCTTCTCCCATTCCATAGGTTGTCTTTTAGTTTTGTTGATTGTTTCCTTCATATGTCCCAATAGTATGTTTTTGCTTTTATTTCCTTTGCTTCAGGAGGCATATTTAGAAAAAAGTTGCTGTGGCCGATGGGAAAAAAGGTACTGCCTTGTTCTCTTTTAGGATTTTTATGGTTGCAGGTTACACATTTAGGTCTTTAATCCATTTTGAATTTATTTTTGTGTAGGATATGAGAAGGTGGTCCAGTTTCTTATGCATGTTGCTGTCCAGTTTTCCCAGTACCATTTGTTGAGGAGACTTTCTTATTGGATACTCTTTCCCACTTTGTCAAAGATTAATTGACCATATAGTTGTAGGTTTATTTCTGGGTTTTTCATTCAGTTCCATTGATCTATGTGTCTCTTTTTGTACTGTTTTGATTACTGCAGCTTTGTAATGAAGCCTGGAATTGTGATACCTCCAGTTTTGTTTTTCTCTTTCAAGATTGCTTTGGTTATTCGGGATCTTTTATGGTTCCATACAAATTTTAGAATTGTTTGTTCTAATTCTGTGGAAATTGCTGTTAGTATTTTGCTAAGGATTGCATTAAATGTGTAGATTGCTTTGGGTAGTGTAGACATTTTAACAATATTTGTTCTTCCAGCCCATGAGCATGGAATATTTTTCCATTTCTTTGTGTTGTCTTGAATTTGTTTCATCAGTATTTTACAGTTTTCAGAATATGGGTCTTTCATTTCTTTGGTTAGGTTTATTCCTGGGTATCTTACTGTTCTTGGTGCAATGGGAAATGAGATTCTTTTCTTAATTTCTCTTTCCTCTGCTTCATTGTTGATGTATAGAGATGCAACAGATTTCTATACATTGATTTTGTATCCTGCAACTTTACTGAATTCGTTTATCAGTTCTAGCAGTGTTTTGGTGGACTTGCTTTCAGGTTTTCTATATAGAGTATCATGTCATCTGCAGATAATGAAAGTTTTACTTCTTCCTTACCAATGTGATTGCCTTTTATTTCTTTTTGTAGTCTGATTGCTGTGGCTGGGACTTCCAGTACTATGTTAAATAACAGTGGTGAGAGTGGATGTCCTTGTCTTGTTCTTGACCTTAGGGGAAAAGCACTCAGTTTTTCCCCATTAAGGATGATGTTAGCTGTGGGATACAATTCATGTATTTAATTTTATTTTTTTTAGAGAGACTGGGGTGGGGGGAGGGGGAGAGGGAGAATCCGATGTGGGGCTGGACCATGACCTGAGCCAAAATCAAGAGTCATGTTTAACCGACTGAGCCACCCAGGTGTCCATAACTCATGTATTTTAAAATGATTTTATATAATGTTTTAAATATGACAGTTACCTGAATGTATGACAGTTGGCCTTTTAAGTTTTTGCATTGCTAAACATTTTTCTCCAGAGTACTTTTTCACCTGCTCTTCTCACCTTTACCTATCTATGGCTATATAGCAAATCACTGCAGAACTTAGTGGCTTCAAACAGTGATTCATTCTTTCTCATGATTTTCATTAACTAGGTGGCTCTGTTGGTTTCACCTGATGTTGGGCTGGACCTGTTGCCCAGGTTCCTTGGTTCAATAAGGATTGGCCATTCTCTGGCCTATTTGACTTCTTCACATCCTGGTAGTGTGGCTTCCAAGAGAGCTAAAAACAAGAGAAGCCATCAGGCCTCTGAGAATGCTATTCTCACAACTGCACCAGCATCACTGTACCATATTCTATTAAAATAAGTGGCAAGGCCATCCCAGATTCAAGTGGAGGGGAAATACCCTCTATTCCTTGATGGGGGTGTCCTGAGGGAGAAGAATTGTTCATAGTTGGCTTTGGAGGCAATCTGTAGACTGCTCCTTGTCTTTTGTTCTTAAAGTTTTTTTTTTTTTATTCATTCGAGACACAGATACAGAGAGAGAGAATATGAGCAGGGGGAGAAGCAGAGGGAAGGGGAGAAGCAGGCCCCCCGCTGAGCAGGGAGCCTGATGCGGGGCTGGATCCCAGGACCCTGGGATCATGATCTGAGCCGAGGGCAGATGCTTAACCATCTGAGCCACCCAGGTGCCCCTCCTTCTCTTCTGTTCTTGAGGACAAATTCATAAAGTGGAATTTTAAGGCAAAGCATATGAGTAAAAATTCTTGTTATATTTTGTCAAATTACTTCTTTTTTTTTTAAATTTTATTTATTTTTATTTGACACAGAGACAGAGATAGAGAGCATAAGCAGGGGGAGCGGCAGGCAGGCAGAGGGAGAGGGAGAAGCAGGCTTCCCGCCGAGCAGGGAGCCCGATGTGGGGCTTGATCCCAGGACCCTGGGATCATGACCTGAGCCGAAGGCAGCCGCTTAACCGACCGAGCCACCCAGGCGCCCTGTCAAATTACCTCTTAGGCAAGGTAGAATTGATTTCCAGTTGTGTGTAATTGTGTATAAATATACTTTTCTCACAGTTCTACCAGCACTGTGTAGTGTGTTTAAATGCATGTTTTAAATTTTATTTTTTGATGGTTGTATAATTTCATCATACTTTAGCTTGCTTGTTTTTTAAAAATTTTCTTGTTTGGCTTATGTTCTTGTTTTATTGTTTGACATGTCTGTGAAATATATATTACCCATTTGTTGTTATAAACGTGTGAACATTTACTGCTTGTTCAAGGAACTGGTTATTGATATTAGCAGGTTTTAATTAAGAAATATTGAAATCAACTTGAAAATTTTATACCTTATATTTCGTACTTCTCCCTTTTATTTTTCTTTTCAACTTCTTAAGATAGGGTCATGTCCGATAATTCTGAAACAGTCCTCTAGATAAAATGAAGGAAGGAAAATTAGACACTTTGCAGTGGTAAGAATAGCAAAGAATTTCTGGCCACCTTTAATGTGCTACAAAGTACAGTGATTCTCAACTATTTTGATTGCAAGTTAGTAAAAGAATCATGAATTTTTAGAAGGTAAAGCAGTATAAATTGCAAACACTAAAACTGCATTTTATCTTTGATTTAAAGGTGTTTCAGGAATCATATAGGTAAGTTGTTTTTTTTCAAAATTGATCTCTGATAGCTTGCTTTCATGGAGTTCAAGAATCCTAAATTTGGAAAAAATGTGGTTCAGGAAGGATTCTGAACCAGAGAATGGAGATGAGGGCAGAAAAAAGGCGAGAGGATGTCTTCTTCCTGTTGCCTCTTTTTTCTCCCTACACTGGTGGATTCCTTCCTGTAGTAAGCTTTTATGTATTGGTCATTGAGATTTGTTGGGATGGACAAAAGGTTGTACATCACTCATGTAGTTTAGTTCCACATTTCACACTGAAATACGCAGTATAAAAAACACTATTTGCTCAGAGTCACCTGGCTAGTTTCTGGGTAGAGCAAAATATTAATGAAAATTTTGTGTTGCTCCTTCTTGTCTGTAGCACTTCTCATACTCTGATTTCTGTGTCTTGCTCCCCTATTAAACTGTAAGCTGCAAGAGGGCTGGGACTGTGTCAGTGCTAGATCCCATTTGTGTCACATAGTTTCTAGCTTGTAGTTGATTTTTGATTTTGGTTAATTGGAAGTAAATAAAATTACAGGATTACAATAAAATGAACTACAGTTTTCTTAGTTGAGGCATTTCCTGGTCTTTCATCACAACTGATGCTATTTTCCTTTTCTTCTTTCCTTATCAATGGAGTTAATGCTTACTGCCCACCCCCGCCCCCAACCCCACCCCTTGCTGCAGGTAAAGTCTGAGTTAGCAAGTGCACCTGCCCTTTCTTTGTTGAGCCCTGCCTTCCAGGCCGTATCTGGCTCTTTGCTCATTCATTCTCAACTACTGTCCCCAAACATTGCCTACCATTTGCTCTCTCTCTCTCTCTCTCTCTTTTTTTTTTTTGGTGATGTCCCTCCTTTTTTAAAGAGACTTTAAATGGCAGGAAAAAAGCTCTCTCAAATTCTAGTAAATTATTCTTGTTTCAGGTTGTTTTTGAAGAAATAAAATATTATCAGTATCCTTCCAAGTCCTAGGCCTCTTTCTCTTTGCCCAGAGATGACTGCTATTCTCATTTTGGAATATATTGCACAAATGTCTTTCTACTTTTGCTACATATGTGTGTACTCAGGAACAGTATAAAGACATTTTTATATGGCTTTTGAGGGGTTCATTTTTTTTCTTTTTAATTGTAAAATATATATAACATAACATTTATCATCTTAACTGTACAGTTCAGTAAGGTTAAGTATATTCATGTTGTTTGCAGCAATCTCCAGAACTTTTTCAACTTGCAAAACAAACCATGTACTCATTAAATAGTGTGCTTTAAAAACTTTAGCATTGATGGATACTTGCAGCTCTAATTCTTTTACTGTAATTGCAGTAGTCTTGTGTCATTGATTATACCTTGTTAGTCTTAGGTTGTTTCTAAGTTTTCACTATTAGAGATAATGCCTAGTGAGCATTCTTATTCCTGTCTTCCTCTGAGCACTCAAATGAATTTCTTCAGCCCTATGCTTGGATCTTTCTAAATATTACCAGTTTGCTCACCAAAGTAGTTGTACTAGTTTATTCTCATGTCAACATTGAATGAGCTTCTTTTCTCTACGTCTTCATCAAATAAAGTATTGTGAGACTTAATATTTGTCTATCTGGGGGATAGTTATTATGGTTTTAATTTATGTTTCCCTGATTACTGTTGGTGTTAAGCATCTTTTTTTTATGTTTATTTTTCAGTCCTTTTTCCTGTTCTGTGGAGTTTCTTATTCATAATTGTCTTTTCCTGGTCTCTATATTTTAGATGGTAACATTTTGCCAGTCATGTTACTCGAATCTTCTTTCAGTCTGTGGCTCATCTTTTATCTTTCATTGAACTTGTTTTTTATTTCGTGAAGTTTATCAGTCCTTTGGTTTTGCTTTTTTTTTTTTACTTTTAAGAAATTCTTTTTTATATCTCAGGTCATAAGGATACCTTATATTTTCTTAAAGTTAATATTTTGCTTTTCATATTTAGCATTTAATTTGCCTAGAATTTATTTTTTATGTATACTGTGAGATAGGGATCTAATTTTTTCCATATAGATAAAATGTCCTAACACCATTAACTGAAAAGTACATTCTTTTCCTAGTTTTTTCTTTTGGAATAATTTCAGATTTACAGATACATTACATAAACAGTACAAACGATTCCCATATAATACCTTCACCCCGATTCATCAAATGTTAATATTTTAACGTTTTTATGTGTACTTGCATATGTGCTTTCTTTCCCCTTCCCTACCCACACAGACAATTTTTTTCTGAACCATTTGAAAATAAGTGACAGACATATGCTTCTTCACTCTTACATATGTCGCTATGTGTTTACTAAAACCAGGCATTCTCTTACATTACAACAATGTAATTTTCCAAGATCAGGACATGAACATTGATACAGAACTTCTAACATATAGGCCCTATTCAAATTCTGCCAAATTTCCCACTAATGAGCTTTATTTATTTATTTATTTTTAAGATTTTATTTATTTGAGAGAGAGTGAGAGAGAGAGAGCACATGAGAGGGGGGAGGGTCAGAGGGAGAAGCAGACTCCCCACTGAGCAGGGAGCCCGATGTGGGACTCGATCCAGAGACTCCAGGATCATGACCTGAGCCGAAGGCAGTCGCTTAACCAACTGAGCCACCCAGGTGCCCTATTTTTTTTTTTTTTACATTTGTTATTTAAACTCAATTTAGTTAACATATACTGTATTATTAGTTTTAGGGATAGAATTTAGTGATTCATCAGTTGCATATAACACCCAGTGCTCATTATTTCAAGTGCCCTCCTTAATGCCCCTCACCCAGTAACGTACCCACTCTCTCCCCTCCAGCAACCCTCAGTTTGTTCCCTGTAGTTAAGAGTCTCTTATGGTTTGCCTCCTTGTTTGTTTTTATCTTATTTTATTTTTCCTTCCCTTCACCTCTGGTCCTCTGTTTTGTTTCTTAAATTCCACCTATGAGTGAAATCATATGATAATTGTTCTTCTCTGACTGACTTATTTCACTTAGCATAATACCCTCTAGTTCCTTCCAGGTTGTTACCAGTGGCGAGATTCCATTCTTTTTGATGGCTGAGTACTATTCCATTGTACATATATACACCATATTTTCTGTTTATGGAATTTGTTGATGGATATCTGGGCCCTTTCCATAGGTTGGCTATTGTGGACATTGCTGCTCTACACAGTGGGGTGAATATGCCCTTTCGAATCACTATGTTTGTATCCTTTGGATAAATACCTAATCGTGAAATTGCTGGGTCTTATGGTAGCTCCATTTTTAACTTTTTGAGGAACCTCCATACTGTTTGCCAGTGGCTGCACCAGTTTGTATTCTCACCAATAGTGTAAGAGGGTTTCCCTTTCTCCACATCCTCGTCAACATTTATTGTTTCCTGAGTTGTTCATTTTAGCCATTCTGACCAGTGTGAGGTGGTATCTCATTGCGGTTTTGATTTGTATTTCCCTGATGCCGAGTGATGTGGAACATGTTTTCATGTGTCTGTTGGCCATTTATTTGTATGTCTTTGGAGAAATACCTGTTCATGTCTTCTGCCCTCGTCAACATTTATTGTTTCCTGAGTTGTTCATTTTAGCCATTCTGACCAGTGTGAGGTGGTATCTATCTCATTGTGGTTTTGATTTGTATTTCCCTGATGCCGAGTGATGTGGAACATGTTTTCATGTGTCTGTTGGCCATTTATTTGTATGTCTTTGGAGAAATACCTGTTCATGTCTTCTGCCCATTTCTTGATTGGATTATTTGTTCCTTGGGTGTTGAGTTAGATAAGTTGTTTATAGATTTTTGGATACTAGCCCTTTCTCTGTAAGACATTTACAAATATCTTCTCCGCTTCTGTAAGTTGCCTTTTAGTTTTGTTAACTGTTTGCTGTGCAAAAGCTTTTTATCTTGATGAAGTCCCAATAGTTCATTTTTGCCTTTGTTTCTCTTGCCTTTGGAGATGTGTCTAGCAAGAAGTTTCTGTGGCCAAGGTTTCTGCCTGTGTTCTCTTCTAGGATTTGGGTGGATGCCTGTCTCACATTTAGGTCTTTCATCCATTTTGAGTCTGTTTTTGTGTATTGTGTAAGAAAGTGGTCCAGCTTCATTCTTCTGCTTGTGGCTGTCCAGTTTTCCCAGCACCATTTGTTGAAGAGACCATTCTTTTTCCATTGGATATTCTTTCCTGCTTTGTTGAAGAGTAGTTGACGATAGAGTTGAGGGTGCATTCTGGGTTCTCTATTCTGTTCCATTGATCTATGTGTCTGTTTTTGTGCCAGTACCATACTGTCTTGATGACGACAGCTTTGTAATACAGTCTAGGAATTGTTTTACCTCCAGCTTTGGTTTTCTTTTTCAACAGTTCCTTTGGCTATTTGTCTTTTCTGGCTCCATACAAATTTTAGGATTATTTGTTTCAGCTCTGTGAAAAATGCTGATGGTATTTTGATAGGGATTGCATTGAATGTGTAGATTGCTGTGGGAAGCATAGACATTTTAACAATGTTTGTTCTTCCAATCCATGAGCATGGAACGTTTTCCCATTTCTTTATGTCACCCCTAATTTCTTTCATAAGTGTTCTGTAGTTCTCAGAGTACAGATCTTTTACCTTTTTGGTTAGGTTTATTCCTTGGTATTTTTTCATTTTTGGTGCAGTTGTAAATGAGATCGATTCCTTGATTTCTCTTTCTGCTGCTTTCTTAGTGCATAGAAATGCAACTGACTTCTGTGCATTGGTTTTATATCCTGTGATTTTGCTGAATTTCTGTATCAGTCTAGCAATTTTTTGGAGTATTTTGGGTTTTCTACATAGTGTATCTGTGAAGAGTGAAAGTTTGACTTCTTTGCTGATTTGGATGCTTTTTATTTTATTTATTTTTTGTTGTCTGATTCCTGAGGCTAGGACTTCCAGTACTGTTTTGAGCAACAGTGATGAGAGTTTATGTTCCCTGTCATGTACCTGACCTGAGGGGGAAAGCTCTCAGTTTTTTCCCATTAAGGATGATAATCACTGTGGGTCTTTTGTATATGGCCTTTATGATGTTGAGGTATGTTCTCTAACCCTACATTCTGGAGTGTTTTTATCAAAAAAGGAATTTGCATTTTGTCAAATGCTTTTTCTACATCTATTGAGAGGATTATATAGTTCTTATCTTTTCAGTTATTGTGGTGTATCACATTGATTGATTTGCAGATGTTGAACCACCCCTGCAGACCAGGAATAAATCCCACTCTTGGTGATCGTGGTGAATAATCCTTTTGAGGTATTGTTGGATCCTATTAGTATCTTGGTGAGAATTTTTGCATCCATGTTTATCAGGGATATTGGTCTGTAATTCTCCTTTTTAGTGGGGTCTTTGGTTTTGGGATCAAAGTAATGGCTTCATAGAATGAGTTGGAAGTTTTCTCTCATTTCAAGTTTTTTGAACAGTTTTAGAAGAATAGGTATTTTTCTTCAAATGTTTGGTAGGATTTCCCTGGGAAGCAATCTGGCCTGGACTCCTGCTTCTTAGAAGGTTTTTGATTACTGCTTCAATTTCTTTGCTGGTTATGGATCTATTCAGGTTTTCTGTTCCTTCCTGTTTCAGTTTTGTTAGTTCATATGTTTCTAGGAATGTATGCATTTCTTCCAGATTGCCTAATTTGTTGGCATATAGTTGCTCATAATATTTTCTTATAATTGTTTTTCTTTGGTGTTGGTTGTGATCTCTCTTCTTTCATTTATGATTTTACTGATTTGGGTCCTTTCTCTTTTTTTTTTTTTCAGTAAGTCTGGCTGGGGTATCAATCTTGCTAGTTCTGTTAAAGAAACACCTTTTAGTTTTATTTGTTCTGTTCTTTTGGTTTCTATTTCCTTGATTTCTGTTCTAATCTTTATTATTTCTCTTTTTCTGGATTTAGGCTTTATTACTCCCCCTGCTTGTGTTCCCTCTCTCGCTGTGTCTCTTTCCGTCAAATAAATAAATAAAATCTATTAAAAAAAAATATAGGTCTCCTGATACCTTATGTGTGTTCCTCTACTTTGTGTTTTCATAATTTTGTTTGTCTCATTAAGGAAGATAATGTGAAAATCAGACAAATATTTGAGTCTTAAATTACTGAAAAATTGTAGAGTATTACTCAGAGAGGTTTTATAAATGCTTTTATTAATACATGATTTTAAGCACCATAAAACCAGAAATTTCTTGGACTTCAATTTTAATATTTTCTTTACAGTATTTTTTACATGACAAATTACAGAAATTCTTTGTTTATAAGACATATTTCAACAATGAGTGGTTTTTAGAAAATACATATTTTAAGTTCTATACATTCTGTAATCTCCCTACTTTTTAAAAAAATTTTCTGGATTTTGGGGTGCCTGGCTGGCTCAGTTGGTGGAACATGTGACTCTTGATATTGGGGTCATGAGTTCAAGTCCCACATTGGGCTTAAGAGCTTACTTAAAATAAAAATGAGTAAAATTTTCTGGAGTTTGAGATGCAGTATACAGTGATAGAGTGTTGGGAAATTTGAGTATTAGTTTTGACTCAGCTGCTAGCTTACTACGGTTTTGAATAAGTTACTTCATGTCTTTGGTCTTTGTAAATGTGGATATAGCTGTCCATTATAGCTCAGAAAATTTCTTTTATATACAGATAGATGGCTGTATGAGAAAGTAATTTGAAAAATATAAAATGCTATGTTATTTCACTGGATAGGAATGTTTTGCTTTGAGTACACCCAGTCTGTGACGTATGGAAAGGTTCTTTTCAAGAGAGTTCAGAGCAGTATGTATTTTGTCAGAGTTGCTTCCACAGTTGGCCAAGTGTGTCTCTCATCCCCATCAGATTTGCAGGGACTGGGGACAAGTTAGCAGTAGCTAGGGAAATGAGTTCCATCCGGGACTAGTGGGTTCCAGAGGAGGCATTGGAGAATAATGGCTAAGCTTCAACCCTGACTCACTCACTCATATAATTAGATTGAATTTTATGAGATTACTCTTTCTGTTGGTTAAAAAGATGCCTGAATAGTAGCAGTTTCATTTTATAAGGTTCAACCTAATAATTTAAGCTTTAATTTTCTTACCGAGTGAAATGGTGATATTATATCAGTTTACAAGGTGAGATTTAATGAAGTACTTTCTGCCTGTAAAACTTTTAGCAGATGTTTGTCTCATAGGAGGAGCTCAATAAATATGTTATCTTTAATCAAGTCAGTTTGTTGGGGGTTTGAGGAGAACTCAGAACTCCCAAAATGGGGCAGAACCAGAGAACTAAAATCACAGGTGGGACTTTTCACGAGTTCCATCTTAACAGTGTGTCTGCTCAGGTTTGTTGCAACCCACACCTAAGAACTCTGCAGGCGGCAGGTAAACAGCCTGGCTGCATACCACAGCACACATGCCCCAGATACTCTCTTCCTTAACCTCATAGATATTCTGCGTAGTAGGATAAGGGGAAGGGACCCATGGCCGACTTGGGTGTTCTTGAGGACCAGCTAAAGCACATAACACAGAAAAGGTTTACTCCATCCCTACAGGTGTTTTCCTTTAATTTTTGAGTAGGCGATGATTCCTCTGGTCCGGTCTCCCTACTCCTGCCCCTCAAGCAAGACTAATATTATTCATTGGGGCATTTTAAAATGGCACTTGATAATGTCTTCCATAGAAATATGTTCATAAGTAGGGGAAAAAGGAAGTTACAAAGCTATGAGTCATCATTTCATTTTGGTAACATGCGGAAATCATATATTGTGTATGGAAAGTAATCTGAAGAGACACTAAATGGTAACAATAATTATTCCTGAATTTTGGGGACTTTTGTACATCTTAGACTGTTTACCATCACCTGGAACTGGAATCCACACTACCCTCTCTAAAACTGCACTACCTCTCATCTTTTTTTAGTGTTACTTTAGAACTATTTAATTTAGATGATTAATTGCAAACTGATAGATTTGCTTTGTTATCGTTTCTCATGTTTGTATGGATAGATTGACAGATTTATTACATTCAGGGTCTTATACCTTTTTCGCTATAACTTGAAAAAGGTAAAAATTTGTAAATTAAAGTTGGGAAATCTTTTTTCCTAATAAATATGGCATGGCAAGATTTATTCTATTTATTTGGTAGTCTTTATGCCTTTATTTTTGGTATCATGGGAGTTAAAGGCAGGTGATTTGGAATTTGATATCTTTCAGATTTAAAAAGCTGGAAGCATGTTTTCTAGGTTGTTTGTGTTAATGGATGGTAATATTTTTGGTGTTATTCCTCAGAAGTGCAGGTTACATTGTAATCTACTCAAGAGAAAACTAGATTAGTGGAGAAGCCTGGAGATGGGTTTTTGAATTGGTTTGTCAACTAACAAATAGTTAAGTGACTTTTTGTGATAATTTTCTTTTCTCTAAAGTGTTAAGTTTTGGACTGGATGATCTCTGGTGTTCTTCTGGACCAAAAATTGACAGCATTTTAAAAGTTTCAGCTAGAAAGGGGTAGATTTGTGGGTTACTATTTTTTTTTTTTAATGACGATCCCAGACTAAGGGAGTAAAATATTTAAAACTATTAAAAAACAACACACACAGACATACAGGAAAAAGACAAGTAGAACTATAGAAAAAGGCTCGTAGATGGCAGAGATCCAGAAGGCAGTTTATGTAATACTTCAGTTTTCATGGAACAACATCCCCATCTTGTGGCTTTTTTTTTTCTTCACAGACATTAGTGGTTGGGTGAAATAAAGCCAGAGTGTTCTAGTCCTGAATTTGAAAATAGGGCACAGTGTTTTTTGGTTATTGTTTGTCTTATATTTTAAAAGGAAAGTAGCTGCTATAACTTTTTGCATGTTAGTATTGTCAGTAATTGATCTATCAATCTTAGAACTATTTCCCCAAAAAGCTATATAAAGAAAGGGTGAAAAGTTTAGCAGTAACTAGGTTTATCACTTTTATGGCACTTATGTAAAAAAAAAAAACATTAATTTTACATCGTTCACTTTGTAGTTTTGGTGGCCATAAAGGTCACTTGACTGAATTGTTTATAAATAGGAGGCAACAAAATTCAATGCAAATTTAATAATTCTTGGATAAGGGTAATCAAACTCATTTAAGATTACTTTAAAAAAACAATTCAGTAGCAATATATTATAGAAGTCATGACTCTATAGGAAAATAGCAATGTTAGGTGAATAGAAACTTGCAGCTTAGGATACAATTTCTAGGGTCCACCCTACAGGGTTGTACAAAGAGCTTTTCTTCTCACATAGCTTAGATGGAGGTTAATAGAACTTTTATGTAATTCTGTCTAAAAACAAATACTAAAATTATCATCATAGTCAACATTTATTGAGTTTAAGATGGATTACCTTGTTTAATTTCACAGTGATTCCATGAGGTAGGAGCTACTGTTACCTCGCTTTTATAGGCAAGAAAAGAGGGCTGGGGGGGGTCACATATCAAGTGGTTAGCAGAACTGGACTTAGGCGGTCCGAAACTTAGATCTGTGCCAGAATATGCTGCCTGTGTGGTTTTTTTCCCCCCTAAGAAAGGCAGACTGCTGTATGCAGCGCCTCATTTGGATGTGTCTGGAGTCTTGGAAACTTGACTACCCTACATTCTCCTACAAATGGATCTAGAGAGCTTGTTTGGAGGTTCTAGCAGGGGAGCATGGCGATCAGTGGGGTGACAGATGTCACAGCCAGATCACCCTCACATCCTGCCTGCGTAGTTTGTACTGCTGTGCAACTTGATGGTTAAAAGTGGCTTTGGTCTAGAAACTGAGGATCTGCTTCTTACAGCTGTGTGACTTTGGGTAGGTCACCTAACTTTTTCATATCCTAGTTCCTTTAACCGTGAAATGGGTGCTTTTAGGATTAAATGGGATAATTTGCTTAAAGTAGCACAAGTGGTTATTAGTAATCATAGTAGTTGTAATAGTGACTAGTCTTGTTTCTTGTAATTTATGACCGCTCCATATTTCTGTGGCCCAAAATTTTCAAGCATTTTTTTATAAAGCATAGTATCTAAAATGGCTAGTGTTCTTTATAAGTTACAGTATTTATTGTGTTTTTATTGTATGTCCAGAAGGATTACTGTGAATTAGTACCAAGAGAGAAGTTACACAAAATGACAGTTTCTTTAGAAGAGATGTCTAAAAAAAAAAAATGCAAGAGATGTCAATTCTTTCTGTTTCATAATTGTGTGTGTGCATGCATGAGAGAGAGAGAGTGTGCAAGCATATGTGTGCAAGCTCCAGAGCCAGAGAGAGAGGCTTCTAGGGGCATTTACATAATTTTTTCAAGACTTATGTGGTTGGACTGGGGGATGTTTCAAACTAGGTGCTGCTGAGAACATGGGAGCCACAGGGTCCATCCTTTGGAAAGGCCAGGCCAATAATTTTGGGAAAGGTTGTGGTCAATTAAAAGAATCATGGTTGGATTCTAGGGGTTGGAGGTCACAATGGTGGCAAAGACCAGGTTTATTGAGAATGAAAGAGTGAAAACTGTGAAATGCTAGGAGATTCTAGGCAGAGGGCAAGACGTCTGTGTTAAGCTTTTAGATATAGGGGCGCCTAGGTGGCTCAGTTGTTAAGCGTCTGCCTTTGGCTCAGGTCATGATCCCAGAGTCCTGGGGTCGAGCCCCGCATCGGGCTCCCTGCTCTGTGGGAAGACTGCTTCTCCCTCCCCCACTCCCTCTGCTTGTGTTCCCTCTCTCGTTGTGTCTCTCTCTGTCAAGTAAATAAAATCTTAAAAAAAAAAAGATTTTAGATATAAAGTAGGGGTAATGAGGTCTAAAGAAAGGCAGGTATGAGAAGGGCTAGTGGATCAATAGTTGCTAGGTTGGGCCCAGAGTTGAAGGGTGGGTCTTAGGAAACTTACATCCATGAGGAGAGTTGTTCCTCAACGGAGGAACTCTCCAAGTGATGATTAAGCGCTGTTCTGACATGGAAGAGGTAAGACCCTACTGGTTTGGGGCGAGAAAAGGAAAGGAGACTGACTGGGGACTGTGGGTGGGGCTGCTTCAGCATTCTAGAAAAAAATAGTACCCTCTAGTGCTTTTTTTTAAAGATGGAACATAATTCTATTCTTTAAAAAGCATTAGAGAATGTTTGTTAATAAATTTGAACTTTTATGAACTTTGGTCTTTGCCCATTTATTTGATGCATTGTTCTAGGCTTGGAACAGAAATCTCAATTACAGAAAATATTCATTTTATAATGATTTCTTTATGATTTTTTTATGTCAGGATAACATTGATTAATTAGGAATTTATATACATGTTCTGTATTGCAGTAAATATTTGGTACAGTGTTTTCTTTAGCGTTAACATTTTGAGCAGTTTTTTGATTGAACATTTTCTGAGCAGAATGCTTAAAGGGAATTTTGTCTTTTTGGGGAAATAATTTCTAAAAGTTAATTTGGAAAAAGCTGAATTTGAATATATGTAGCTCTTGTAATTATGGGCTTTTTACATTTACATTGACATTCTTTTGTATAGGAGTTAAAGTTCCTCGTAATTTTCGCTTGTTGGAAGAACTTGAAGAAGGACAAAAAGGAGTAGGCGATGGTACGGTTAGCTGGGGCCTCGAAGATGATGAAGATATGACACTTACAAGGTGGACAGGCATGATTATTGGGCCACCAAGGGTCAGTGCTATAAATTATATATTTTTTATTATTTATTGTTATTTTAGAGTAAGCATTTTTATAGTATTGATATTAAAATAATTATCACCTCTAACTGAAACAATTCCTCCCTTTTAATTCATTTTGTATACTTTTATTGATGCTTCCTGCGTATAAGGTATAATGCTTGATTTTATGGAGGCCTGGGGGGAAAAGATTGATATGGTCATTGCCGTCAAGGTGTTAGCAGTTTAGTAGAGGAGAAAAAATAAGTACAAATGACAGACTTTAAATATGGCAGAGAAAGTTCACTACGGGACTTTAGAATATGTTTCTTCTAGCTGGAATAATTGAGGAAGGCTGAACAGTGGAGGAAGTTGCCTTTGGAATGAGCCTTAAAGGACTGACTGGTAGGATTTCAGAAGGTGGTGATGGGGATGGAGAACATTCCAGATAGAGAGGAGAAAAGGTGAGGAAATGGAGGGGTATTTGGGAAGAACAAACAGTATATTTTGACATAACATGTTACTAATCTGCTATGTGTGTAACCAAGGGTTTCTAAATTGGTTTGTTTTGAGTGCGTACTGCTATTTGCCCTTTTGACATTTGACTTGCCTTGTAAATGCTATAGGCCTCAATTTCTTCATTAATAAAGTATAGAGAAAAGTCTGTGATTTTTGCATATTTTCTAGCATTGTTGGCAACAGATCCAGTTGTGTTTTATTCTTAGGTCTTTCTCAAGTTTATGAAGTTTTATTTGTACTCAGAATCTTTTCCAGACTGGGAAATATTTTTCTACATTGCATTCCTTACTCAAAGGTCCCATTTACAGCACTCTTGGCAGTGAGTCTTTGAAATATATATTGCGTAATGTTTTTGACTTAACTGGCAAGAACACCAATTTGAAGGTTTTGTTTTTTTTTTAGTCTTCAGTCTCGTATACTATTGGCTACCTTATGAGAGCATTTCAACTGTTTTGCTGTTGGGTAGAGTTTAGATTTCCTCTTGATTATTACAAAAGAAAAATGGATCCAAGTAATCAGCAATGTTAACTTTAGAGAGTTAATTAATGTATGCTTTATATTTTCTGGTATTCCTTTGCAAGATTTGAGCACACTACTTAACCTAACAAACTCCCACTTCCTTCCACTGCTTTGATTTTTCTATAAGATAGTTGAGGAAGGAAATGTAATATTGATGTATTTTATAACTTGGTATTTGTAATGAAAACCTTGATTTTCAGTGCCTGTGAACATTATTACCATGTTTGGTTAAAAAAAGTGATTTAATTTATGAACATTCTTAATGAATAGTTTGAAGATTTGACAGTCTGAGCTTGATAGAATATAAATTTGAAATTATTTAGATTTCGTTTTTCTCCAGGCACTACCTCCAATGGACTTCAAATGTTAGGAATGTTTTGAAGCTTGTGTATGAGTTCCTTAGTGGTTCTGTGGGCTGTCCCATAGCATAGTTCCCAAATATGGAAGAGCAGCTCCCACTTGATCTCACACTGTTGGGGTCACCAGCAGGGCTCCCCAGATTAGCTGCCTTTCCTGGTGTCACTGAACTGCAGGAAGCTCCTGTGTCCAGGTTATGCCCAGTGCACAGTGAAGGCTGCTCTAGCTTGGGGAGGAGTGGGCCTGGCTTGCTTGAAAAGGGCATGTAGACACAGTGCCGCCAGTGGCCGTGCTGGGCTTCTGTTCATTGGGCCTTCCCCCTTTCTGGGGGTGGGGGTCTTGGAGCCTCTTCTCACTTCCTTTGGGTGCCAGGAAGAGGCAAGAGGGGAGCACCTTAAAAAGGCACAGCATCTTTCCAGCCAGCCAGTGATTTCTGCCTTGCATCACCCGCTTTCTCTCCACTTAACCTTCCTCACTGAGGCATGTGGGACCCAGTGGGGTGAATGCCTTGTGCACTCATTCAGTTGCCTTTTGAATTTTTTTTTTTTTTAAAGATTTTATTTTTTTGACAGAGAGAGACACAGCGAGAGAGGGAACACAAGCAGGGGGAGTGGGAGAGGGAGAAGCAGGCTTCCGGCTGAGCAGGGAGCCCGATGCGGGGCTTGATCCCAGGACTCTGGGATCATGACCTGAGCCACCCAGGTGCCCTCAGTTGCCTTTCAATAAAACCTGCAGGGGTTGCTGTCTCACCTTAGTTGTTTTCTCTTTAGAAGGTACCAGGTTTAGAGCAGTTTGTCCTCAGCTTTAGGTATCTACATCTAACTCGGATAATGGGAAAATTTTTACCTTACCATACTGTTACTTGGTTAATGGTTTTTAAATTGTTTTATGCATTATTAAGATCCCTGTTTCTTTATGTTATTCCAGTATTTGGATTTATATGATTAGCAATTTTGTTTTTCCATATATGTTTGTGTTTTAAATTTTCTGAAGCAATATTTTTTAGCATTAGAGGTTTAGTAACTTTCCCAAGTTTTCTCATGTGTAAATGAAGATACTATATCTATCTTTATATATATATATATATATATATATATATGGAGGGGCGCCTGGGTGGCTTAGCCGGTTAAGCGTCTCCCTCCTGATTTCAGTTCAGGTCATGATCTCAGCCTTGTGGGATTGAGCCTTGTGTTGGGCTCAGCACGAAGTCTTCTGAGATTGTCTCTCTCCTTCTACCCATCCCCTTGCTCACGCATGTGCAAGTGCTCTCTTTCTCTCTCTCAAATAAATAAAATCTTAAAGAAATATGGAGGATTAAATGACTTAATTAGACAATAGGAAGGTGCCTGACTAGTATATATTTAGTAAATATTAGTTCCTTTTTTTACTTTTTTATTTTACTATTTTATTAGATAATAGAAAGATGTGGCTGTTTTTTAAAATTTAGAGGTTATAGGGATGCCTGGGTGGTTCAGTCGGTTAAGCATCTGCCTTTGGCTCAGGTCATGATCCCGGAGTCCTGGGATCGAGCCCTGCATGGGCTCCCTGCTCGGCAGGAAGCCTGCTTCTCCCTCTCCCGCTCCCCCTGCTTGTTTTTCCTCTCTTGCTGTGTCTCTCTCTGT